CTAGTTTGTTAGCAACAATCTGCTTTTATATCTAAACAGAATCAAAGATATCATCATCTTAAAAGCATAATTCCTCAAACTGTTTTGGTACTAGTTTGGTTTAAGTGATCATTGGGAAGAGTTGTGATTTTATATTATAGTGTTCAAATCTTATTGATAACAAAAATTTAGATAATCACTTATATAATATTTGTATTACAACAACTGTTACTAATAATTAGATTAGGATATCTATAATGACAGTTGCATTAGCATAACTGACAAGTCATAAAGTATCTATATAATTATACAGAAGAATATAAACCAACAATTAGGCAGTACAAACACTAGATTAGTCCTTGTGACTATGTAAATTCATTGAAATTGAGTAACAAAAAGTCTATTTAAAAAAATCTAAGTAAAGAAATAGCTAAATTTTTGATAATATTACTGTAAAGACTAATCTAAAAAAACAGATACTACTGTTATAGTATCCAAATAGGCAAAACCCTTTGAATTAGGAAAGATTCAAAGATACCACCAACCAGACTGTTAAAATAAACTAAAGAAAAAGGATATTAGGCTGATCTAATATACTAATAAACAAGTTATAGTTCTATATAAAGTATTTGGATTAGGTGTCTAAACAAAAAGCAAAAATATACTAAAATACTAAGATTATACTATGAAGTAAATGTTAAGGTTTAAGTGAACTCTACAAAGACATAGTGGTTAAAAATATAACTCTAATCACAAATATTAGTTTTGCTATAGTAATATCTAGATTAATTGTGAAAATGAATACAAAAAACTCTAAAAGTTTATCTTAAAGATAAAATAATTTTAAGATTGAAACAATTATCTGAACATCTGGATATAACCCAATAATATTAACACAAATTTCAGATTTAGAAAATTTAAAATAAAATATCCAAAAAAAATGTTAAATATAATAATTGATAAGAAACCTTTAAATAGACTTCTTAAATAAGTAATATAAAAAGTTATATATATAACCAATTGTATACTCTTTTGTAGTGATTCATAGAATCATATTACTAAAAAAAATATTAATAAAAGTCAAAAAACCAAAAAGGTTATCTTAATACTAAAAAAAAAAAAAATTTTTAATATTTTTATGTCTTATATATTAGATTAATAAAAATTAGTTTATTAGATCTTATTTTTTTATATAAATTTAAATATTAGTATATTTGGTATATTATTTGTTTTATTGCTAAATTAATATAAAGTATCTGTATAGCTAATTATATAAAAAAATGCAAACTAATATCAGACAATATATATTCAAAATAAGTTTTTAGGATTGTATAAATTTATTGAAATTGAAAAACAAAAAACCTATTTAGGAAGATCTGAATAAAAAAATAATACAAAATTTTAATATTATTATTATAAAAACTAAATTTATAATACAGATACTAATATAAAAATCTAAACTAATAAAAACTTCTAAATAAAAATATTACTAATTAAGCTGTTAGAATTTTGACTAAAAAAACTAAAAAAAAAATATTAACCTAATTTTATATATTAATAAACTGATTATAATTTTATATAAACTATTTAAATTAAAAATTAAAAAACAAAAACAAAAATATACTAAAATACTAAAAATATACTATAAAATGATACTAAAATCTAAATAAATTTTGCAAAAACACAGTTTTGTTAAGATTTGTAAAGTAGCTAAATAAATTAATAAAAGAACCTTTGCATCTTACTGTCAAATAATAAACTTTATTATAATCTAAATATTAATATAAAAAAAATAAAATCAAATCTAAATAATCTTTAATAAAAAACAACAATAGAATCATTTAAGCTTAAATTAAAATAATTAAGATTAGATGTAGTAACTTAGTAAAATAGATAAGTTGTCATACCTTCAAATAGTAGATTGTGAGTTCAAAACCCACCAATGATGAAATTTTTTTTTTTGAATTTCCCACTGCTTGGTCACTAGTGGGCCGCAGCTGGCGGTTGTTTTATTAATTTATATTTCAAGTTCACGGAACCTTCTATTAAGATCCCATCTACATTTTTACATTGTTTATATACATTTACAGTACTATCTATATACTAATTTTTGTGTTCCTATTACCCCAGAATTTTATTAAGATTATTCCTAATTGGGGATTCCTTTGTTCTATTATTATCCTCAGCCTCCTAATCATCGTGGCCTTCTTATATCAGGTCCATTACTATTTAAAGATTTGGGTACTAAAGATCTTCCTATTTTCGTAATATGCCATCTGGTGTGATTAATCCGTAATCATAATTCTAACACAGTTTATGTCTCCTGTTGAACTTAAACTGGCAACCTTGTGATTAGTGACCTGGGAGCATAACTACTTCACTATTGACCTACAGGTCCAATAATGAAATTTGAATAATCATCTATGTAATATATAAACAGTATTATAATAACAGCATTTTGTTAATTAATTAAGTTAAAATACCTGTAACTATGATTGCACTAACATGACTAACAGGTCTAAAACATCTGTATAATTTGTTATATAAAGAAATGCAAACTAGTATCAGGCTGTACAAATCTAAAATAAATCTTCAAGTTATATAAATTTGTAAAACTGAGAAACTGAAACCCACTTGAAAATTCAGAGCAAAGAGATAGCACAAATCTTTAACAATACTACTGTAAAAACTAAACCTAGAAAATAAATACCAATGTGAAGAATTCAAGCAAACAAAAACTTCAAATGAGAAGTACCACCAATTAGACCATCAAATTTTAAACTAAAAGAAAAGAATATTGAACTGGCCTTAATATACCAAGAACAAGTTACAGTTTTTCTAAGCTATCTAAATTGAAAATTTAAATTCAAAACAGAAATATATTAAAAATACTAAAGATATATTATGAAATCAGTATTGAAATCTAGATGAACTCTGTAAAAATAATTCATGTTATTGTTCTAAAAATAGATAGATAGTTAACAACAAAAAACCCTCTGTGCCTTACTAGCAAATAATATACTCTAAAATATATAATAACTTGAGAACCAATATAAAAAAAATAAATACCATACTGCTCAAATGATATATCAGTTAAATATATATGAAAAGTAAGTTGAAAATTCTAATATAACAAAATGAATGATCAAAAAGTTTAAATAAATAATCTTCTAATAGATTATAAATACAACATCTAATGTAAAACCTTAAAACAAACTACTTAAATAAATAATCAAAAATTGCATGTGTGACTAACTATACTCTTATCTCTGTAAAAATAATTGTAATAACTAATTCAATATAAAATCAATAAAATATCATCATAAATATAACTTTTAACAATAAAAAAAATAAAAAAATAAAATAATAATAATAATAATAATAATAATTAAAATTATATAAGTACTAATTAGATAAGCCAAAAAGTTTAAATAAAATACTCACAAATGAAAATCAGGTATAACAGATAGTAGGTAACCTTAGAGCAAAACCCTTAAATAATTAAAGTTATATATGTAACTAGCTGTACTCTCACAAACTATATATGTATTTAAAATATCACTAACTAATAAAAATTGTCAGTTTGGTTGAGCAATTAACTGCTCATTTAAAAATATATATATATTATTCAAGAACTTTTTGCATATCTAAACAATAATATTTTAAATAATAATATATATTATTGTTTGTCTCTCATTTTGTATATACTGTACCTAAAAACTATGAAAAGCAATAACGGTTATGTCTCTTCCGCCATCGAGCAACCTACGCAGCCTTCGTGAGTATCGCAATTCAAAAACCTGCAAAACTGCAAAAACTGTGAAACCTACCCATCCTTGCCCTTTTTTAGACATGACTGCCGTCCCGGCAGGCCAATCCATTTTAACAATGCTTAATTCATGGGAAGGGTGGGTGGGTCGATATAACCAGAACGAAAGTCGGGTTCGCAGAAAAGACAAAATTACCCTTTAATACTTTCACAAATTTACCCTTATGCACTATATTCCAATTACCTCATAATTACTCAAATACCTTAAACTCACAAAAGCACAAATCGCATGTATCATACTCTCATCAATGACCCATCAATTACTCAAATTACCTCATTCTTACTAAATAATCAATGACCTCATATCGTCAATCGAACATGTGATCGTAATCGGGCCTATCACATGTTCGATCGAGTATCACATGATTCGAGACAAAAGCTGCTCCGATACTATGTATCGAGCAGTTCTTAAAAGTAACAAAAACAATGAAAATTAAATTAAAAAATTATTAATCTTATTTCTCTCAATTCTCTATAATTCTTGCACTTCTCAATCCATATACTAAACTTGAATTATTTGATAAAAAAGATTTCTAATTAACTATAATTCAACCAAAAACGTTCTATTTAATATATATTATTATACTGATAAAATGATTATTTTATTTAAACATACAAATTCATTAGATAATTTTCATAATCTAATTCAATCAAATAAAAATAAACCAAATTTACAAATAATTTAATGAACCAGGTAGTAACCCATTAACATAATAGAAGTATAATTTCTTTCGTTTTCCTACTATAATTTCCATTGCAGTGGATTATTTTGCACTTCAAGTTACAAGTGTTCTATGTGAGTATGCTATTTTCGTTGCAAAGCACACACTTAATCCTACATGGAATCGTCTTCTTGAACAAACCTTATTGTGTTCGAAAAATTGGATTAAAGCGAATAAATATAAATATATTTATCTGTATAGATATCTATCGATATACTAAATATCATGTATTTGTTTCACATGACTGAATGAGGTTTTGTCTAGATTTCGTGTAACATTAAAGGTCCCTCTGCGTCGATACAACTGCTAGTGTGAAACCTAATTTGCATTCTAATTTGTCAATAAGAGAGTAGCGGTAGCGAAAATGAATTTTTATCGCAAATTCGGATAAATCCTGTGTCTCGACTGGTTTTGCAATTTCAATATATATTGTAAGAAGTTTTATCAAGCCTCATTTTTTATCATTTCAAATGTCACAAAAGAATAAACTTATTAATGATCCTATCCATGTAAATTTTTACATAATTCATCTAATTAAAGAAATTAAATCTTTAGTTTTATTTAACATGGGTTATTTAAATAGGGGTATATGTCATTTGAAAAGTGGGCGATAGAAGTTATAGATACACCACATTTCCAAAGATTGCGAGATATTAAACAATTAGGAACTACTTATTATGTTTTTCCAAGTGCGAGTCATAATCGTTTTGAACATAGTTTAGGTACGTACATACATAAGAGCAGAATTTGTACTGTAGGGTAAGGAGATGTGATAATCGTCAATTTATTACAGGAACAGCACACCTTGCTTACACCTTAACCAAAAGATTACAAGAACAATCGGGTGTCGAGAAATCGGACCATGATCTCGAATGTGTGACTTTAGCTGCCTTGTGTCATGATTTGGGTGCGTTAATTCGTTGATCACATGTTTGAATTAATGTCATCAATATTGATATAAAATGACTACCATTTTTTATTTATACGTACAGGACATGGACCATATAGTCACGTGTTTGATAGCATCGTTATTCCGTACCTAAAGTAGGCTAACTTTTAAAAGATCAAATATATAAATGTACATCAGTGTCATATAGGTTTTTTTATCTCATAATTACAGACCATCATCTAAATGGAAACATGAAAAAGGATCCGAAATGATGGTTGAACATCTTTTTGAAAAACTTGAATCGTATTCTATCGATTTAAGCTCGGATGATGTGAAATACATCCAGGCACTTATTAAAGGTGATTCAACTGGAATGTGAGTTATTCTCTCTTATAATAAATTATATAAAATAGTATTATTAATAATATTTTTTACATAAGTACAAGATCTCCATACCTATTTGATATCGTTTCCAATGAACGTAACTCTGTGGATGTTGACAAATTTGATTACCTCGCACGAGATTGTTACCAGTTAGGAATGAAATCATTATTTGACTTTTCACGATTGATGCAGTTCTCTCGCGTCATGGATGATCAAATAGTCTACTATCATAAAGAATGCTTTAACATTTATGAAATGTTTCACACGCGATATTCTTTACACAAGAAAGTATATAGCCATCGCGTTAGTATGTTGTCACAGAAAATTTATTCAGAGTATTTTTTTGAATTGCCAACGATTGACTGGTATTAATGCTAGGCGGAGCAATTGATTATATGATAAGAGATGCGCTTGTGGAAGCAAATTCATCTCTCAAAATTGCAGATGCAATCGAAAATGCGGAAGAATATATCCAATTGAGTGATTCTATTTTGAACAAAATCGAATATTCAAATTTGGTAGGCATATTGTTTGTATTATTCATTAAATACCAACTAATTGTTATTCTCCTAAACATATTCTTATATTCCAATAAACGATTAGGAGGGATTGACCAAATCAAAAGAAATCATTAAACAGCTTAGACGAAGGAAATTATACAAATTTGTTGATGAGTGTTTAATCCCGAAAGACAAGAAAGATGATATGATGAAAGTATAGTATATATATTTATATATTCATTTCATTCAAAGTTTTTACGAAACCTTTTACATAACGTTGATTTTGTTAGGCGATCAATGAGCGTGAAATTATTAGCTATCGAAATGGCAATGTATCTTTACATGAGGATGATGTGATTGTTGATTGGAAAACACTCAATTATGCAAAAAAAGATGAAAATCCAGTGGATGCCGTTAAATTTTATAATGATGGCGATAGTACGTTTCCTGTTCCTCGTTCGAAGGTTAGCTATCTTTTCCCTGTACAATATGAAGAATACATAGTTCGCATATTTGCACGCAAACCAGACAAGGTAATATCAATCGACATTTGTTGTTTAATTGTTTCATCACGAGTGACTATTGATCAATCAACATTTGTAAAAAAAAAAAACAAAAAGGTCGAAGCAATTCAAGGTGCTTTTCGGGAGCTGGCGAAAAAATTAGGTCTAGAACCAAGTCAGGGATTTTTAAAGTCCGGCTCCAGGAAACGACGTTTTTCCGAGGAAAACCCCTGAATAATTAATTTTATTTTTTTTCTTAGACGTTACGTAATTATATCAACAGATTTGTTTATAAATTGACGACCTTTATAATTTGTATACCGGTAATATATGTACAAGAGAAAATTTATTTATCATCGTTTACATTTTTTAAAAAACAAAATTTATAATACAGTGCAGGACACCTTAAAAATAAAAAATTTTATCATTTTGCTTGTAAGCTTGTAACGCACCGCGTACATCTATTTACCCAGCAAGATGTTCGATGAAAATCCACGCTGTCTGACGATTCATGCATGATTAACCAATAAAAATCTATCACGGGACTATCTACTAATATTCAATCATAATTACAGGTTAAGTACGTACGTTGAAGAAATCTATGTTGCGTTGGAAAACTTGCAGGTTCGATTTAGAACAACTCACTATACTACTGTAGATATAACACTATTACTATAGTGACCAAACCCGAATAATGGTAAGGCTTTGATTAAGGTATGATAAAACTTGGTTCAAGTAATCAGGGTTGTAGGTTGTATAGTGATAGCGATGGCTTCAGATAAGTGTTCTTTCCTGTTATATATTTTATATTTAGTGTACTTATTTAATATTAACTATAGATATTTCTTCCAAGGTTTTGAATTGTTGATTTTGATTGTGAAGGCTTTTCATGATTGTTACATAATTACTGAAGTACAATTCAGGGTAATTATGTGGGTATTGATTTTACAATATGAGTTAATCACAGGTTGAATCAGTTTCATAATTAGTATATAAGGGATCTAATTATATAATTATCATTTTTTTTTGGTTTAATACAACAATAGGATATGTAATAGTCACAAGGACAAGATAACAAAATATGGATTTGGGTTATGTTAAAAGAAAACTTAGACATTTATTCTTATTTTGAAAGCATTTAAATTGGACTTCACTGAGTTATCTTTTTATTTAAGATAATTTTCATTACTTTTATATATAATTTTTACAGTTTAACAATTATTACTTATTAACATTATTTTTTTTTTTACATTATTATTTTAATAATTCTTTTTTTAATTATTTACTTAATAACTTTTTTTGTATTGATTTTGATAATTGTTTTCAAAATGTAAATATTAAAAAAAAACAAAAATAAAAGAAATAGTTAAAAAAATAAGAATTGTTAGTTGTATTATATTGGGGTTACAGTAATTTTTAAGACAAATTTGATCTTTACAATATATATAATTAATTTCATTTTTGTTAATAATTGATCAAGTTTATTTATTATTATTATATTTATATACTGTATAATTTATATATATTTTTTAAAAGAAATTACTTAACAAAAACAGATTATAAGTAAAATAAATATAATATATACATTTTGATAAATGTAAATGTAGCAAAAAAAAAAAACTTGTTAAATTATATTTATGTTATATTAAGATTTTACAATTTATTTTTGAGTATTTGATATATTTTTAATTTATAATTTATTAATATAATAATTTTAAAATAATAATTTCTGAAAAACAGATAAATTTGAAAATTATAACTTGGTTAGGTTATACAAGTCAAATGAATAAATAAAGAGTAAATAATAGATAAATAACAGAAAAAAAACTGTTATTATTCTACTTTATATTTGTCAAATAATAGTAACATAACAGCAACATAATAGCAAAATAACAGTAAAATAACAGAAGATTTGTCAATATAATATAATAGTAACATAATAGCAAAATAATAGAACAGTTTTAT